CCCACCCGCCGCGCGCGGGGCGCGCCCGGCTTCCCTTTGTTGCTCGGTTTCCATGGCAACGGCCGCGCGGCGGGAGCGGAGTCGGATTCCGGGCGCTGGAGGCCGCCGGCCCGGTCCGGGTCCCGGCCCGGCCCCGCCCCGCGCCCCCGCCAACACTGTCTGTGGTGCTGAAGGCGCAGCGCGGGAGGGACGCGCAGCGCGGGAAGGACACGCCCGCCGCTCCGGGAAAGCGCGAGGCGCCGCGGGGCAGCGCGGCCAGCGCCGCACGGAGGGCCGCGCTCAGGGCGCCCCCCGCGGACCCCGCCCAGCAGCTCCGGGAGGCCGTGGGGCGGCGGCGGAGGGCGAAGGGGAAGGAGCGCGACGAGGAGCCAGCCCGCGCGCCCTCCCGCCCGACGCCGCCTGCGCACCCTGACTCCCAGCGCGGCCTCACCCGCCAGGCGACCTGGCCCACCGCGCCCGCCCGCACTCTCCCAGGGCCCGTCCCCCATGGGGGCCGCCTGACCTCCGCGCCCCTCCCCGCGTCCGCCCCGGAGCGCAGCAGAACCTGGCCCTGCGCACTGCGGGCGGGGGCCTGGGCCGGCTTCCTCCCCGGCCTCTGCCTCCCTCGGCCCCTTCTCTGGGCCTCGGTGTCTTGGGGGCTCTGAGCTGGACACCCAGGCCTGCCCGGTTTCCGCTGCCTGCTGTACCAAGTGTGTTTGTGAATGTGCCAGTGTCCCTCGGCCCTTGGGAACCGGGAGTTCGTGGTGGCCCTGCCCTGGTCTGGCTCCCCAGGGTGGCCCCCCTCCTCTTCCTTGCAGACACACCTTGCAGCCACTGCCATCGCCATGGAGACAACAGCCTGGACACATGTGCCCCTCCGAGCCCGACTGACCAGCCTGACCAGCTCCCCCTCCACCTCTGGACCTGTGCCAGCCAACTTGGCGTCAGACAGTCCCCTTCCTGAGCAGGGTGGCCAGCGCTGGGGGCTACCCGCAGGCTGGATTCATGGGCCCCTTGCCCCCACTTCGTGCACTACCAACCCCTCTCCAGCTCCCCACTGTTCTGCCCAGCTTGGGAGCCTCCCAGGGCTAGGGCGTCACCCTCCCTGATTCCAGCCCCCTCTGACACTTGCAGGGCTGACAGGCACTTCTGACCCTGTTCTGGAGACGGACTGGCTGGGCACAGGTGTCTTCTGGAGAGAGACTACCTGCTGGAGGGGCCCCGAGGGTCCCCAACCCTGCCTGAAGGCCCCTCACAGGCTGGCAGCAAAGGAATGGCATTTGGCCCTGGCGAGGTGCCCTGGAGACGGGACAGCAGGGTGGGGGCAGGAGTCCGGCTGCTGCACTGCCCACCCCCCAGCTGCAGTCCCTGGGCTGCGGCCAGAGGCTCCCTGACGCCATGGGGCTATTCTGGGCCTGGCAGGAAGGGCCACGGATCAATGGATACAAAGCAGTGGCCTTGGCTTCCACCTCTGAGACCACGGAGGGTCACAGGCTGGGGCACTGCCAGGGCAGGAAGAGCCCGTGTGTGGGGAGGGCAGCACAGGACACGTGGCTGGGGGTGGCAGGTGTGAGGAAGCAGGAAGGGGCCAGATGGCCAGGCATGGGGTGATTCCCTCCCCTGGGGCCGCAGTGGCATGGCGTCATCCCCGTGAGGTCGGCAAATCACAGGCAGGATCCCCCCACAGTCCTCCCCAGACTCTCAGCTCTGCTGGGGGAAACCAAGGCTGGGCTGAGCTGTGGACTGGAGGCCTCGGGCAGGGTGGGCTCAGGACAGGTGTTCAGGCAGCCCCAGCAGGGAACAACTGCCCTGCCAACCTGAGATGCCCCTGGCCTGGGGGAGCTGCAGCCCCCGCGGGGTCACTGGGACAGCAGGTTGGCCGTTTGCCCCCAAGCAAGTTGCGAAACTTGTGCCCCTCAGCTGTGCCCACCGCCCATTTCTAAGCCCAGGCTCAGACCCCCCAAGGCAGCCTGGAGGTGGACAGGTGGCCCAGGCAGCCAGAGCCTGGCCCTGGGGGGCACTGTAGCTGGGTGTCTGCGGGGGAGCGAGTGAAGGGGTCCTGTGTCCCCTGGGCCTGCCTGCCCTTGGGACAGAGCTCTTGGCCAGGACTCGGGGACACCTCACAGCCCATATCTTTTCCACAGAAGAAGGGACTTGGGAGAGGCGGGAGGGAGTCCGCGGCCAGTGCTGGGAGCAAGACTCCGTGCCTGGGGAGGGGACGGGCGCTCAGCAGGTGAGGGTGCGGGGGTCCTCACCATGCTGCCTGCGCTGACCCAGCCCCCAGGCTTGGAAGAGGCTCAAGTTGAGGTTCCAGTCTTTGTCAGGGACCTGGTCTCCCAGCCCCCAGCTGAGGCACTACAGATAAGTCCTCAGGCAGTGGGGACACGGGGTGGGGGGGGCAGACTGCAGCTGGCTGGGGGGGCGGATAGAGCCTGCACAGTCCTGGCTGTCACCCTGCTGGGCCCCACAGCAAACACAGAGGGGAGGCCAGGATGCCCCTTTATCTCTGTCTCCTGGGAGGGAGCAGAAGTGGTTTCTATTTTAATTCCCTGCCTGAGATTTCAGGGTACCTGGGAGGGGCCGGGGGAGCAGAAGGCAGAGTCAGGGAGGAGGGACGGAGACCACCCCTCCCCAGGCAGCCTGGGCTGACCCCACTCCTGGCCAGCTGATGGCAGCTGAAGGTGGTCCCTGAAGCCAGGCCGTTCCCAGAACCCCTCCCCTCTGGTGGCCAGCCAGGCCAACACCTGTCCCTAGGCCTGCAAGGGCGGGTGCGGGGCCCAGGCCGAGGTAAGATTTCGGGGAAGGGACTTGCTGAAATCTGAGCAAATTCTCGCTGTGGAAACGGCACGCCTGCTGGGCTGCCGGAGACTCTGGACAGAACTGTCCAGACAGCTGGGGAGGGCCCTGCCAGGGCCAGGAGGGGCCTGGACCGACCGCCCTGGCGGCAGGGCAGACTCCTGGCCGTGGGGGCCCAGGGCAGCCCTCAGCCCGGCCCACCCCCTGCCGCTCCCTGCGGAAGGGCGGTGGGCAGGCCCCGTGGGGCAGGTCTGTGGGACCTGCCAGAGGCCAGAGCCCGAGGAGCCCACGGCCCCGGAGGCCATGGGGCTCCCGCTACACTCGTCACACTGCCCGACGGCCACCTGGGCGGCTGCCCAGCCCTCCCAGGCCTGGCTCCTGGTCCTGGGCGGCCCGAGAGCCTAGGACGGGGAGAGCCCTCGGCGACAAAAGACACAGGGAGGGACCGGTTGGCTTTTTTTCTTTTTATGAGATTTTTTTCTTTGTTTTTGTTTAATATGAAAATTACTTGAAAAGACAGGGGCCAACCCCGCCGGGCAGCGCGGTCCTAACATTCCAGGTGTAAGTTACAGAGCTCAAGTTCATCTACAAAAAAGTAATAAAAATAAAATTTAAAATGGCACCTTCAACAGAACACAACGAAACCTTGGGGCCCGGCCTCCGGGCGAGAGGCCCCGCAGCTCAGGGGCACGGGGCGGCCCCTCTTCTCCGCTCCAGCCAAAAAGTAAACACAAAGCTAAAAACGACTCCTCGGCATTCTCGGAATAAGTTAAACGCACTTCTCCTCTCCTGACGCGTCCACGTGTCCACCGAAGGAGCAGTTTCTCTGCGGGGGGGGGGGGGGGGCTCTACCAAACTGAGGAGGGCGGGCAGCGGTCGGGTGGGGAGGGGCCGCCCCGGGCTGGCGGAGGGCAGGCGGCCCGGGAGGGGCAGCGGCCCCTAGTCCTCGATGACGATGGGCTCGTCGTTGACGGGCGCGGGCGCGGGCGGCCGCAGCGGCAGGGCCTGGCTCTGGCGCAGGGCGATGGGCTTGTAGGGCCGGCGGGCAGCGCGCTTGGTTTCGGAGGACGAGAGCAGCTTGCGGATCTTCCTGCGAGCGGAAGAGCAGGCGTGAGGCCGGGCGAGGCCAGGACGCCGCGCTGTGCCCGTTGCCCACGCCGCAGACCCCCACCTGGTTTCCTCGGTGGCCATGTAGAACACGTCATCCGGGGCGTCGATCCAGTTCATCCGCCGCCGCTTGACGGGGGGCAGGGAGCCCCCGCGGATGAGGCGCACTTTGGTGGGGTAGGACTTCCCGTTGAGCAGCAGGTTCCGGCTTGGTCCCTGCGGCGGAGGGGAGGTGAGCTTGCTGGGCGGCTGGGCCAGGCGCCCACCCACCGTGACCTGCGTCCCCACGTGGGAGGGGCCTGGCCAACCCTGGCCACCACCCAGTGCGCCACACAGGGTCCCTGCCCTGGCCAGGGACAGCCCTCTGAGGGCCTCCCAGGGCCTGAGAGCCGCTGGGCGCACGGTGAGCCCGTGTCCTGTAGCTGGCCACCCCTTACCATGTGCCTCGTCTGCCCGTGGTTTGCCAGACCTGCAGAGAGAGGAGGGAAAGTGAGCCTGGGGAGGGCGCGTCCTGCACCCACATTGCCCACAGACGGGGCGGAGCCAAGAGGCAGGGCCCTCCTGGGCCAGCCCGAGGGGACGTGGTGCCTCAGCTCCTCTTGGTCCCGGCCCAGGCCCGCAGCTCTGGCCAACGGAAGGCGCCTCAGCTGGGGCCGCAGGCAAAGCCTGGGGTCTCGGATCTGACATCCGCTCCCCACACACAGGCCGCCTCCTTGCTCCCCCGACTGCAGACAAAGGAAGCCTGGTTTGCACAGGAACCAGGCGATGCCGGGCGCGGCACTGGCGAGACCCTCTGCAGGGCACAACACCGCTGACGGGCACTGCTGGAGCCCCGGGAGGCCAGGATTCCTTCCGAGGGCTCTGAGCTGCCCTCGCTGATCCAGGCCAGGGGTCTGGAACCACAATCCCCTGCCGGTGCCCCAAGTCACAGCCCACAGCACCACTCAAGCCCCCGCGCCCTGCCATGTGCTCAGGGGACCAAAGGCCTCTGACCTCTGACGGCATCGCTGGAGCAGGACCAGGCTCCTGGTCACCCCCGCCCAGCAGGGAGCCCTGGCCAGGCCCACCCCGGGCCGCCACTGCCTCCCAGGCCTGCCTGTGATCTGCGCGCAAGCGTGTGGGTGTGCGTGAGTGGCAGGCGGTCTTGCGACGGCCCAGCCCCTGGAGAGAACGGGACACTGCACCTCAACTCAACGGGGTGCCCGGCCCTGCTGGCACTACAGCATCCTGCCCGTCCCTGAAGTGCTTCTCAGCCAAAGAGCCCAGATCATGTCCTGAGGAGCGGCAGACGCCTGTCCAGCCCCCACCCCAGGCACTCCCGGTGGCTGACTTTTCCCAGCTCGCCCAGCCCTGCCGGGCAGGACAAAGAACAGGGCCCAGCTGCCTGTCTGCAGTGCCCCCAAGCAGGGACAGCCAGCCTCCAGGCCCCCACTGGGACCCGAGGCCCAAGGACGGCCACTGGCACGAGGGCTACTTACCCAAGTAAGTGCCTACCAAAGCGACAGGTTGGCGGAGGGAAGAAAACACACACTTTAGAGTTAGAGCGAGCGGCAGGCACCCGTCAGTGGCCCAGAAGTCGCAAGACGGAGCAGCAGCCTGCGCGGGTGGGCGGCGGGTGAGGGGGTGCTGGGGGCTGCGCCCGCCCGGCCCGGGCAGACTCCTGCCGTCTGTGCCCTCGCCCGGCCCCTCCATTGGGCGGGCCCCTCACAGCCAGGGCACTGTGGCAGGACCCTCCTCAGGGACTGCACGTGGGCCTTAAGTACGTGCCTTCTGGAAATTCGCAGGAAAAAGGTGGACTTTTAACTAACTTGCTTGATAGCTTTTTACAAAACAAAACCAAAAGCTCAAAGCTGTCTGCTGACAAGGACTCCCCACTATCCTTTAAGATCCGACGGGCCGTTCCCCAGGCACCCTGCCTCGGGGGTGCAGAGCAGTCAGGCCAGCCGGGAGGGGCCGGCCGTGGCCGCGCTGCCAAGACCAGGCCTCCAGGCAGCTCCAATGCCAGGCGGCTGCGGGGGGCGCCCAACAAAAGGATGGGGCCCGGCGAGACGGAGCCCAGCGGAGGGGCTGGCACCTGGACAGGTGGGGAGGGGAAGGCCGGCTGCCAGGTCTGTACGCTCCTGAGCGCTGCAGACGGCTGTGGGCCCCACAGGGACACGGCTGCCCGGTGCCCCGCAGTCTGCAAGGCTTCCCAAGGCGGGCGTGACAGGGACTGTCCTGCGGGGCCAAGGCTCGGCTGGATGGCCACTGCCTGCTGCCGCCTCCTGGGTCCCCCTGCCCGGCCCCAGGACCTCGGCCAGCACCCTGAGAGCAAGTCGTGATGGCCTGCGGAGGGATCTGGGCACGTCCGCCTGGCAGGCGCAGCAGCCCACGTGCCTGAGGCCCAGGCCTGGGCATTCACCTGGGCCCTGCGCACCTGCCCTCCCCACACAGACGACGCCCAGGCTCGGTCCTGTCTGCTCTTCCCCCAGGGGCCGGGGTCCCCCAGCCCCTGCTCCAGCCACTGCGGAGCGCCCGAGCCCGTCCTCAGGCAGAAGGCACCAAGCCTGTGCGCAAGCTCAGTCCCTCGTGGCTCTGCAGACACCCTCGACCCGTCCCCACCGTCCCCACCCGGCGGGGCGCACGGAAGGATTGCAGGCATAGCGCGGGCGGCCCGAGAGCCGAGACAGACGGCATGCGGCAGTCACAGCGCAATGGCAGACAGTGCGGGCGGGCGGCGGGCGCCAGGGCCAGACGTGCAAGGACAGTCCACTGACCAGGCGCCAGGCCGGGAGGGGCCGACGGCCAGATTCCCAGGGCTGGTGGGTTCCTCGCCGAGGGACAAGTGAAGTCGGGAGGAGCGTGGGGGACTGGGCCGTGGCCCGGGCTCAGGTGGACTGCCCCGAGGACGTGCCCTGCGCCGACACCGCGAGGCCAACACACTCAGCAGCACAGCACACACAGGCACCGCGACGGGGGCTCGGCCACAGTGCCCGGGCCGGCGGCCGCCCCAGGCCTTACCCCTACTGGGCATCAAGAGGCGCTTCTTCATGTTGCCTGGCAGCGCCCACGGGGACGGACGGGAGAGAGAGGAGAGAAAACAGCATCAACAGGCGCAGCCGCGTCGCGCCGGGGCCTCGCGGGCCCCAGGACTGGCGGAGGCCCTGCTCGGCCTCCCTGCCGGGGCGCGCGCCACAGACCCGGACTCACCGTCCACCCCGTTGTGCTGCTCGTAGCTTCGCTTGCCCAGGATGGTGGGGGAGCCGTTGTTGATGACGGGCGCCGCCTTGGCGGGGGTCAGGCCGCTGAGCACGCCAGACACGCTCTTCACGGGGTCGGGCTTCGGGGGGCGGGGATGGGTCTCTGCGGAGCAGCACAGGTGGCTTGAGTCAGCTCCGCCCGGCAGGGATGGCAGGAGGGAGGGTGGGGTGCGCACGACGACTGCGGGACACCACCCGGGCCCTCACCCCAGGGCCGCCCCTGATGGGGCTGGAAGGGACGGCCACTACCTGGAGGCCAGGGGCCAGGCGTGCCTCAGTGGGCCGCGTGCCCACCATGGGAGGGGGGTCCAGGCCAGTCCTGCACCTTGGGGCTTCCCCAGAGCAGGGGGACGGCCCAGCAGAGCCCCGGCCCCTCCGCCCCGGCCAGGAGCTAGGGGATCCAGACACGGGCCCCAAACACCGCAGACCCCAACTCAGCCTCCCCGTGCAAGCCACTGGGGCTGAGGACGAGCCCTGACACCCGGCCACCCCCACCCACAGGTCGAGCGCGAGGCTAGCCACGGGGCCCAGGACCCTAAACAGGGCGCAGTGCCACAGCCACTTGTGTCTGTGTAGCACACTTAGCTCATGGCTGTGGAATGTTCTTCCCAGAAGGAAAGTCACCCCCATGTCACGAGCCCATCCGAGCCCATCCCATGGGTCAGGCTCCCCACCCCGAATGTCTGGCCCAACCCCTGGAACAAACTGCTCTTGGCTGGGCCCAGGGTGCCAGCTGGGGTTCTTGTGTCCCCAGACCCTCAAAGGAAAGAAGACCCCTGCTGCGGAGGCTGCTGCCAGGTGTGCGCCCCGCCCAGCCGCGGGCCCGAGGCCTAGTGCTGCCGTCGTGGAGGGGCTCAGCTCAGGGGAGCCTCCCTGCAGGCAGCAGGCGACCACCCTGCCCGGTGGCCTCATAGGCAGGGGGTACACCCAGCCCAAACCCGCAGCCGCACAGAGGCAGGCAGGGGAGCCCACTGGGCCTGCTTTGAGGAGGCTGGACCCTGCAGGAGACAGGGACACGGCCTGGGCCCTGTGGTCGGCTGTCAGGGGCTCCTGCCCGGAGGAGGCGTGACCGCCAGCATGCAGCCGCCCGGCCGCTTACCGAGGTACCGGAGCACGGCGTCCAGGGGCTTGCGCGCCGCCTGCCTCGGCACCAGCGGGCTCTGGGAAGCTCCGGGCAGCCGGGCTGTGCCTGCGAGGGGCCACGTGGTGTGAGGGCGCTGCCCACTCCCGACCTGGCGCTCTCACCCCCGGGGTAGCAGACGGGGCCCTGGCCGGGTCCCCAGGTGGCCCCCCCCCTCCACCTGCAGGGACAGCCCCGGGGACGGGCGCTCACACTCGGCCTTGATGGCTGCGCTGTTGATGGGCGTGTAGGGGTGCCGCGCGGCGTGCCACGGGCGCAGGATCTCGCGGCACAGGCGCCGAGCGATCCTGGTCAGCTTGGTGGTGTGCAGGTAGAAGGCCTGCCTCGTCTTCATGGCGAACTTGGGGCTCCCGCTGCTCCGGGCTGGGATGCCGTGGGGACTCTGCAAAAGGGGGCGCACCGCCCCGACACAGCGCCATGACCGGGGGCCGAGGACCCGAGAGGCCCCCACGCGGCAGGCGGGGCGGGCGCCGCCCACTTACCATGTTATTGCGGTTTGGTCCTGGCCTCTCTCCATCTAACCGGGTTGGCATTTTCAAGCCACCATATTTCTTCCAATATGTCCAACAAGATGCGCAGAGACGACACTGCATGTTAGGGGGACCCCAAGAATACCACTGGTAAGACTGTGTGGCTACGGACAACAAAGTTGGAAATAGACGGATTCTTAAGCAGAACCAGCGACGTCAGAGTGTTCCACAGCGTCCCTGCCGCCCCCAGCCGGGCCCGGGGCAGGAGGGGGTCCCTGGTCCCCTGCCCCGGGGGCACCCCGCACACCCCAAGAGGCTCCCCCACCACGCCCCACTGCCGGCGCGGCCCCGTCATCGGCAGGGCCCTCCCAGCCTGGGCCCGACGGGACCCTTGGGGACACCGCGGAGCACCGCGGCACGCGGCCGGGCGTCCCAGCGCCCTGCCCGCCCAGGGCACTTACTGTAACAGCTCTCGCAGGCCCGGCCGGCCCCGGGGCTCTGGCCTGGTGCCCCTGTGCCGTTCACCACGCCGGCCTTGACATTGTTGACGCTGATCTGGTTTGGATTTGGCTTGTTACTGAAAGCAGGAAAGGACAGGAGGCGGGAGTCACAGGGCAGGAAACCCGGAGGCCCATGTGCGCAGCGCGCAGCTCTGCTGGGCGGCTCCCCGTCCAGATGCTGTCCCTGCAGCCCTCGGCCCCACTGGGGGCCTGGCCTTCGCCCTCCAAGTTCCTGGAGCTGGGTCCCACCGAGGCTCAGGGTGGCGTCCAGGTCCCCAGCCAATCCCACAGGCCAGCTCAGCTGGACTCACTCGTCTGGGTGCCGATGCCCCCACCAGCCAGGGGCCTTGGACGCACTGAGACACAGCCCCACGAAGGGTGCCCGACGCCCCAGCCTCGGAGCCAGCCCGCCCCGCCCCCTGCTGGCCCCAGGGACACTTACTAGTTGGGAATATACACTTGCTTCAGCTTGCTCTCCGCTTCGGCTGCCTTCAAGCGTTTCTTAAGACAAAAAAGAGGGTTGGCAGAGAGGTCAGTAGGTGGGGCCCACTGGGGCTCAGGAACCCCCCCCCCCCGTACCATGGCCTGCACCCGTCTGTCCCAGGGCCCGGCCCCGGAGGGCGCCACGCAGCAGGACAGGGCACACCCAGCACGGGGCGGCGGCGCCCACCTGCTGCACGTATCTGTCGGTGGTCTTCCACATGTAGTAGTACTCGATGATGCTGGTGAGTGACTTCCACGGGAGCTGCGCGAGAAACACGTGTCACGTGGGGCAGGGACGCGGCTGCCGCCCAGACGGGTGACGGGGAGCAGGGCGGGGCGCGGCGGGAGGGCTGAGGGGGTGCTGGGGGCACCACGCTGGGCCCTGTCTGCAGGGTGGGGGCGATCGAGGCAGGGAGAGGAGCTGCCACAGGGCCGGGGCTGGGTGGGGTCCTGCTGCGGTGGCACTGCCCACCTGGCACTCCAGCAGTCACTTCTGTTTGTTTTTAATTTAAAAAGTTCTTTTTTTATAGAGACAGGGTCTTGCTGTGTGGCCCAGGCTGGGGTGCAGCGGCGTCATCGCAGCTCACTGCAGCCTCCACCTCCCGGGCGCCGGCGTCCTCCTGCCTCGGCTCCCGAGTGCCCGGCCACGCACCAGCCACCCCGTGAAGCTGCGTATTGTCCTGCTCTTCACTCCGGATCTCTCGGAGCACTTCTCCTCTGGGTGAAATCATTTAACTTCGCGGCTTCCCTTCTCACATCCTCTGTCGTTCCTGGAACGCTCACTAACTCACTGCTCTCTCTGCGCAAGGCACGCAAGCGCCCGCTGCCGAAGCCCCAGGTCTTCCGAGTTCGCGGTGCTTTCCCGACTGCGCGCCGAGTCTGCCGCTGTGTTCCCGTGCTCCACCGCGAACTGTCAGAACATCGTCGTTCAATCTCTAGGGGCCTGAGTTTTCCCAGTCTACGTCACGGTGAGAGAATCCCACCTGCAAAGTGCCTGCTTCTCCGGTATTTACCGACTTACGTAACGTAGCGACGTGTGTTCCGTGGCACGGAGCATCTGAGACCTGTCTCATTAAGCACAGAATTCGGATGGTTCTTGTGTTTGCTCCGCTTGGGCGGCCAGAGAGGAGGAGCCGAGATTGCGCTGGCTGGGACGTGGCCCCGCAGCCCCTTCCCTCTGGCTGCGCAGGGCTGCTGTCCCCCGCCGCGCCATCTGGCGGTGGCGGTGCAGGTTCAGCCCTGGTGCATCTCCTCTGCCACGGCCGGCTGCAGCCCGCCCTCGAATTCTCTGTTCCGGAGTCTGATGCGCCATTTCTAGCCCTTATCCTCGGGCTCTATTTATTTCTCGTCTGAGGAGGTTTCTCCTGTCGTTTAGCTTTTCAGCCAAGTCAGAGACGTACCCGCCTCGCAGAGGCCGCAGGCCAGGAGCTGGGCCAACGCCCCGGCTGGCACCTGTCCCCTCGGCTCAGCACACCCCACTGAAAGCCGTCTTTCCCCCCCAGCAGACGCTTCCCCTGGACGGAGCGCCTCAGTGGGTCCCCCCGGCAGCCCCTCTGCCGGGCCTGGGCCACTTCCGTCCACTATGCTCCCTCCAGGCTGGGCCTTGCTCCCATCTCCGGCGCTCTGGCTGCTCCCCCAGGCCCTGCTGCACTGACTTGGACTGTCATTATTTCGACGATGCCCTGGTCACATGACGGCAACACTGCTCTGCCCTGGCCCCTCAGAGGACCAGGGACAGGTCGCCCGGCTCTCTGCACACGGCCACGCTCCTCTGAGGGTGGCCTGACGGGCTTTGCCATGGTGGTGAGCATGTTCTTCTTTCAAACAAGTTTACAAGCATCTCAGCGGGAGCCGAGGTGGGGTGGGGGGGAGGGGTGTAGGTTCGCTAGGCCGGAACTTTCAAGGGACACACAGGGACGCGTAAGCTCAGCTTAGTTAAAAAAACAAAGACAAGGACAGGGGCCACAGTGGCAACAGGAGGCTGCCAAGTGTGTGCGAGACCCCACCCTCGTCCTCGCCACGGCAGCAGCGGCAGACGGCCCTCGTGCCCCACGCCTGTCTGCTCAGCGCACAGTGGCCGTTAACGAAGCTGGCAAGAAATGCCGTGGCCTCTGTGGCTGAGCCACACGACAGGACGGGAGGGGAGGCCAGGGCGGGCTGTGGGGGCACACACAGCTCCACGTGGGGCTTGGGGCTGCAGGGCAGACCCCCCAAGAAGAGAGTGGGGCCCAGACCCCACACCCTCAGCCAGCTGGAGGTAAGACACAGCCAGCCCCTCCCGTGACCCTGCCACGGCACTCACAAAATCTTGCTGAATGTCTGTGAAATCCTTCCCGTATTTTTCCAGGGCTTCCTCGAAGAGGTTGGCCTCTGACGCAGACCACTCCTCCATCTCGTCCCTGCAGAGCACCGGCCCGCCCTGCGGCACCAGGGCTGAGATGGCCTTGGAGATGTCGTAGATGTTCCTGTGAAGCGTGTCCATGGCGTGGAACTGCGGCGACACGGCAGGGGCGCCCGTGGTTAGTGCCACCCCAGCCCCCGAGGAGGCTTTTCCTGCAGCTGGTCAAGGCCCCCACTCCCTCAGTGCCTCTAGGTGACAGCCCTGGCTGCCCAGGTCCCTGGCAACACGCCACTCCCCACAGCCCTCGTACACGTGGCTGAGTCCGGGAGACCGGCAGAGGCCAGGGTCCAGGCAGGACAGCCACCTCCCCAGGGTCCTGCAGGGGGCGGGCGTGGGCCTTGCGGAGGGAAGGGGAAGCACAGCTGCCCCCCAGCAGCCACTCACCAGGGTGATGTCCCGGGAGGCGGCCGCGGCGCTCATGTGCAGACTGGGCTGTCGGACGGAGCTGCTGCAGTCCAGGGCCCGAGCGAAGGTGCCCACAGAGCTGGGGACAAAGAGACGCGTTGACGGCTAGAGCCAGCCAGGACGCGGGCAGTGCTCGCGCCGCGGGGGGCTCGGGAGGGGTGGGAGGCCACGGGCACCGGAGAAAAGCCTCGCAGGCTCAGAACTCCATGTGCTCCCTCGTCCCGGGGCACAGAGCGTGCAGGACAGGGCCCAGTGTGACTTCAGGAACGTTCCGGAGCTCCTGCGTCTGAGTGTGCAGTGAGCAGCCGCTGCGGGGTCAGGAAGCCCGAGCTCTCGCTGTTCTCTCCCAGGCTTCTTTCTGCCTCCCGAGCTGCTTGCAGGAAAGGCAGCCGGGCCCTCCCCGACGGCTGCTCCGGGGCTGCCTCCTTCCTGCCCCGCAGCCCCTGCCCCAGTCTCCAGCCAGCCTGGGCAGCCCCGCCCCGCAGGCGGCAGCCCCCAGCGGGCCATCTCCACCCTCGGGGAAGCGGAAGCACCTGGGCCGGACCCTCCCGAGCCTCTCTGGGAACTCGGGGTCCCGGGTGGGCCTGTGGGCTTCACATCCCCAGTGCCCACTGCAGGGTGAGGAGAGCAGGGAGCAGGGACGGGGGTCCCAGGTGGGGTCCTGCCCCGGGAGGCGGGCAGCGCTGTGGCCATCCCTGGCCCCGGCACTCACCGGGCCACCACCAGGAACTGGTCGATCTGCTTGTCGATGAGCGGGTTGTGTGCCTCCCACACCTTGGTCTCCAGCTTGGCCTGGTCGCGGCCGTCCTCCTCGCCTGCAGGCAGACGTGTGGGCTCGTGGGACCCACCGTGGCGCCCCAGCGCGAGGGCTGCACCCCCCTCCCACCCGGGGGGCTGGGAGCTGCTGGGACGGAGGCAGGGACGGGCTGAGACAGTCGTGAAGTCAAGGCCAGAGGGAGGCTAGGACGCACGCTTGCGCTCACGCGTGCACTCGCACGGCACGTGTGCACTCGCACGGCACGTGTGCACACGCACGGCCGGGCACAGAGCTCCAGGGCACGCTGAGCACCCAAGTGAGGAAGCGCGTCGCCCGCCCAGGGCTGGGAGCGGCCGTGGTGTGGGGAGGGCAGCGTCAGGATGGCAGGTCTGGCCCACGTGCTTTGCAGTTGGCCGCGGCCGCAGGCGCCAGGAAGCCTCACCTGAAGGTTTTAATCAAGCTTTTTGTTCTGAGATGCCAAAGAGTGACATGCCACTATAAGAAGTGACAGAGGCCCGAGGGCCCTTTTCCGCCCCCAGGGAAAGGTCCTGTGTCACGTCCCACATCATGACCCCCGTCACGGAGCGCACGCTGGCTCACAGGGACCCTCTGATGCCAAGGCTCCCCTCTGGCCGTCTGCCCCCCCAGGAGAGGCCCCGGGCACAAGCCAGCGCTGGGGTCTGGGTGTCGTCGGGCGTCACCTGCCCGCCTGGCCGTCCCCGACCTGTGGGGAGCTGGGGTGATGGGGACGTGCCCGTGGTCTGCAGGTGGCAAGAGCCGCTAGGCCTTCTGGGCGGCAACCTTTGCTCACAGAGAACAAAACCACGGTGCCAGGACAAACCTCAGCGCGGCCAGGCCCAACTCCCGGGGAAAACACGGAGGAGGATCCTGTGGTCGCCCCGTCCAACCCCCCGGCCAAGGCCACGTCCATGATTCAGCGCAGGGATCGAGCTTCACGTCTCGCCAAGATCCATCAGCTCCCCTTTGGCCCTCGGCGGGGACAGGCCCCCGACTGGGGCTTCCTCCGTGAGCACATGGCGAGCTCCTGGGGCTGGTCGGGGCTGAGCGTCCCCAGGAAGACATCGTCCCTCTCCGTGGAGCCGCTCCAGACCTGCTGAGGGCCGGGTGCCCTCAGCCGCACGCGAGGTCAGGCCTCGCGGCCTCCAGGAAGCAGTGCTCGGCCAGGCTCTGGGGGGAGAGAGGCCCCGCGCTGCAGATGCCCACGGGCCGGGGCGGAGCCGGGCAGCTGGGAGGCCTGTTTCTGTGGCACCCGCAGGACCTCAGTGGGGTTTCCAGCGTCGTGGGTGGGTCTCCTTCCTGGTGTGGATGATGCCCTGAGATGCCTCACCCCGGGGAAGCTGGGGTCCAACTCCTGCTCGCGTTCCGGGGTCTGAGGGCCGCAATGCCGCCCCAGCAACTGCCGGGCAGCCCGGCCCAGAGCCAGGAGCCGAGCCGGCCCTCAGCGCCGCAGCCTGTCCTCTCACCACTGCTCGGACAGTGGTGTTCCCTTCGGAATGCCGCACGCACCGCAGACAGGCTGCTGCTCCGTGTCATGTATTACGGGAGGTGGGGAAGGCTCTGGAGCCACACGACTCTCTCTGCCTCCCACCAGATGGCGAGGTCACGGGGTGGCGCAGGGCTGCGGAGGGGGCGGGGCTGCTCCTGCACGGCCCCCGCTCTCCAAGCCAGACCTGGGGCTTTCCCCAACTGCAGGCTCGTTCTCCTGCCCGCTCGGACTCCAGCCGGTAGAGCTCCAGGTGAAGTCCTTTCCCTTCCAGGCCACCCGTTTCTTTGGTCCCCACCGTGATCAAAGTTCACGTGGGTTTCCCAGCTGTGGCCGCGCTACTTCCAACGGGATGTCTCGGCTACCAGCCCCTGCCCCCTTGGCTGGGCCGGGAAGGCAGACGCCGCTCCAGGCCGCGGACTCGGGTGTCCTCACCGCACAGCATCTTTAAGGTCACGAGCCCGGTCGCTGGCGCCTCGGAGCAGGTCTTCTCAGCCTCGCAAGGACGCTGCCAATGGCCCCCAGGGCGCTGTGCAGGGCACGTGCCACCGTGGCGGGAAGGGACCACCCCGGCTCTGGTGACAGGGAGCGAGTGTGTCCAGGACGCGCCCGGGAGTGACGGCCAGGGAGGGCGGTCTCCGCATGTGGGGCAGGCGCAGCGGCCAGCCTACCGCTCAGCACGTCCAGCCCCCACCACTCGGCGCCTCTCTGCCTGAGTGGCAGGAACCAAACCCGGAGGGCAGCCCGAGGAACGAGACACGCAGGAGGAGCAGGTGGGGCCGCGGGAGACGAAGGACACGCAGGCCAGGGCCCCGCTGCAGAGCGAGGACACAGCCACCAAGGGAGAGCGGCGGCTGCGGACGGGCAGGTCAGACCCTCACAGCCAGCGCTCAGAGGAAAACACAGGGCGCGAGACGCCAGGCGGTGACGCGAGAAAGGCAGCTGCGTGTGAGGCGAAGAGCTCGCGGCGGGAAGGAGAGAGCACCCGAGGGCGCCACTTCTGGTCAGAGTCCAGGAAGGAGAAGAGAGGAGGGAGGCCAGGTCTGAGGTTTCTGTGCACGCGGGCACGAAGCCCTGACGTGACCGAGGGGACGCAGCACGGTGGCCTTCTAGGAGCCCATCGGGACGCGCTGACCCCCGAGGAGCGAACCAGGGAGAGAGGGGGAGCCCCAAAGACCCAGGGGGCGCCCCGGCCGGTGCTGGCCCGCTGATAACAGAGGTGCTGTCCCCACTGCTGTCCACACCGGAGACGGAGGCCCCTGAGGCCGGGCAGCCGGCAGGGCAGCCCAGCTCCAGGGCCCAGAGCTCACCCCAAGGACGTCCCAGGGAGACGGAAGGGAGAAGCCAAACCCAGCTGCACGTTTGGACGGAGCCCAGGAGTTTCCATACGCCACGGCGGGAACTGGTGGTCGGTCTGCAGAGACCAGCACACCCAACCCCAAGAGGGTGCAGAACAAGGCCAGGACCCCCCGGGAGGGCCACGGCGACCCCAGTGCGCCAGCTGTGTGCCGAACCCCACGGGAGCCCTGGTTAAAGGCTCAGTATATTCTAACACCACGTGGTGACACAGCCGTGGGGGCGACGGGAAGTACGGAGACGGGCCGAGAGCTCAGCAGGTGGCGTCTGCTGCAAGGGAGGAGGGGACACACAGGCCTCAGGGCCAGGGTCCCGGGGCCAGGGCAGAGCCGTGGCAGCCGTGGCAGTGAGGACCTGGGCCGCGCAGCTGTTAATACTCGGCGGGAGCGCGGGCACCGCACAGGTTCCTCTGTTCACAGCTGAGCCTGGTTTTGGCTCAAGGGTCCAAAAACAGACCAAGGACGCTGACCCCGCCAGTACGCCTGCCCAGAGGGGCGAGCCCAGGTGCCCCGGAACCCGCCGGTGCGGGAGGAAGGCTCTGGCCTCGGCAAGCTCGGCGATGCACCCTCTTTGTACGACCAGAGAGAGGAGACGCGAGGCGCCGTCGATGGCAACCCCAACGCCATCCCGAGTCGGAGGTGGCACCATGTGGAGAAGGGACTCTCACGAGTGACGAGACTTGGTTTCTCTCTGCGAGAACCTGGAGTCCCAGCTCACGCACGTAACCGGCGCCGAGGCCGAGATGAGATGCCGCGTCCCTGCCGCATCCCCGCGGGCAGAGCGGACGGCCAGTGGCCTGCCTCCCGGTGCCACTCAGCGGGCTGCGGGCCCTGCGCCTGCCCGTCAGGAGGGCTGGGGTTCAGGCTGAGAAGAAAGCGTGGCAAAGTGAGCCCGCCACGGCGCCCCAGGCTGCTGACGGCCAGGCGGAGAGGATGGTGCTCTGCGCCCTGCCCCTCACTCCCGGCTGGTCCGGGGGCCGGACACCCACAGGCAAAACCCACGAAACACCAGGGAATTTCCTCCAAAGAAACGTTTTGGAGACAAGAGCTCATCACAACGTACTGAAAAGCAACAGTCTCAACACGCCAGGGATGGCCGATCGGCACGCTCTGCGCCAAGGCTCTGGGGCTTCCCCGGGACCCCGACTTCCCAAGCCTGGGCCACGCCTGCCGGAGGGAGGCCCGGTGAGGGGCACGGCTGCCGCCCACTCACAGAGACGCAGGCGCAGCTGCCTCGCCAGCACACCCAGTGCCCCGGCCGCCTTGGCGTGGCCCTGCCTGCCCTACCTTCTTTCAGCAGGTCGGTGATGTCCGCCTGGTACCGGTTTCCTACTCGGATCTCTCCTTTATCCGCCAGGAGGGTTTTCTGCTGCGGGTCGTAGACGAGAGAGTAGAAGAAGAAATCCTGGAAACACCACACGAGACAGAGGCGTCAGCACGCGCCCTCGGGGGCCGTGGGGAGCCAAGTCCTGGGGCAGGAGGGAGGGGCCTGGGGAAAGACGCCCATAGTCGGGGTCTCGGGCCCCTGCCCACGATGCGTGGCGGAGGCTGCGGCGGCAACAGGAGAAGAGAGATACAAAGGCCGAGAGGGAGGAAAGACCCCCGTGTTACTGGAAAGGACTCCCGGAAACCTCAAGGAGCCGACGGACGGTCAGACCCCGCGAGACTTTGCCAGGGTTGGCCGGTGTCCCTGACACACACACACACACACACACGGCTTTCCTACTGGCAGAACGACGGAAATTTAATTTATAAAAACGCATTTAAGAGCAAGGAAAACTATGAGGCGCCGCGGCACAAATCTGACACATTCTCGGCACAGCCCTGGGCGCCTGGATGTGTCACGGGACACGTCAACACGTGGATGGTTACAGAATGTTCTGGAGGCAACGCCACGGAGCAGCTGATGGGGACAGTGGGCGTGGCCCTCCTGACCACGACCGTCTTTCACGGCCACCGGGCCTCCGGTGGAACTTGTGTGACTGGGCCCTTCCCGCCCTCCACGCCCGGCTCCCGGGAAACCGCGGAGAGCTGGTTTTCGTGATCTTTGGCCGTCCTGGAGTCCTAGCCGCGTGAGCTCCGGCGACAGGGTGGCGGCTCACCCTCCTGCTCCCACTTCATCTCCCGACGCATTTTCGGTTTCCCCAGCCGTCGCCCCGCGTCCCCTGCCCTGCTCTGACAGCCGCCCCCGAAACGCCGCGCGTCACGGCGTGAGCACAGCCGCGGGTGCCTCGCCCTGCCCGGGAAGGACGGGCCGTCCAGGGCGAGCCTCGGCCTGGGCACCCGCAGGACCCGGTTCTCTGCCAGGTTCCCCCGTCACGTTTTCACTCTGCCGCCGCGTCTTTAGATTGGTAAAAGCCACGCGGTCTGTTTCACGTGGATGGCGCGTGGGCTGCGGCCGGGTGGGTCTGGTTCTACCGTGTGTTGCTGCTGCTGACTTGGTTTTCCTGTCCTGGGAGTGTGTCTGGCAGGACCAAACAGACGCAGGACCCCGGCCAACGGCGTCTGTTCCCGCTAGGCCCTTCGTGCTCTCACCCGGCCCGCTAAATTCCATTCCCGCTGGGGGCTGTCCGCAGTGGGCCGAGAGAGTGGGAAAGGCCACATCGAGCGCCGGGAGGGTGTCAGGTCGCCCCGCACCCTGCGTCACGTAAGAACCGCCAAGTGGGAGGTGAGCAGCGAAGACTGCTCAGGCCGCCTGCAGACGAGCACCGTCCCCAGCAAGTGTCCGCCGGCCGCCTCCAGCGGGGAACATGCGGCGCCGACGGCCTCGCGCCCACATCTGCACTGCGGACCGGCCTCTCTGCTCACATCGCCTCTGCCCACAGGAAGCGCGGCCTTCTCTGTGGCTCTGCCTGACCGGCAGACGGCAAACCTCATGCCCTGGTGGGAACTCCCCGGCCTCCTGGGAAGCAGGGCCTGCCTCAGCCCTGCTGCGTCCGTGTGCCAGGCAGGCAGCACAGCCCCCCTGCACCCCGCCGGGGCCGCACCTGCCTGCTCCTCGCAATAGGCTGTCTCACCAGGCCGCCCTGGCTCCCGACCGGAGCTTGGCCCTCGCTGGACTGCGCTTCCCACGCCCGTCCGCCTGCTTCAGGCTGCGAGGCAGGAGCGAGCTCATCGTCCCCTCGGGGTCGGACAAGGGTGTGGGGCTGAGCCGGGGACACCCGTGGCCCGGCCAAGGCAGAGAGGGAGGAGCGCCGGCTCCCTAGACGTGCACGGGGGGCTCAGGCCACAAGGTTCCAGCCCCCGCCTGGCCCCAGGTCTTTCCGTAAAACCGTGACAAGTCCTCTACGTAACTGACTGCTCCAGATGCTTCTGACCTACCTGGTCCCAAAACCCACCTTCCCTCCAGCCACTTCTCACGCACCGCACCCTTGCCTGGGGCGATCCTGCTCCCTGGAGGCACGTGGCATCGTCTGGAGACGTTTTCGGTTGCCACAACTTGGGGAGGGCATGTGGCGGGCAGCACCCTACAGTGTACAGGGCAGCCCTGGGGGCCCCGTGGGCCATGGACAGAAGTGGCCACCTGGGACTCCATCTGCTGCTCAGGGGAGCCCGGCCGAGCCTCCTGCAGGGACCCAGGTGGCCCCCGCACCCCTCCCCCTGCCCACCCTCCCCCGCCGGTCGTCCAGGGGCAAGCGGCCCCCAGGGCAGGCAGTGGGCACTGAGGGAGCCCACGATCCTTAGAGTCTAGACTCGGGCGGGGGGCACACACACAAGCACGCTTGGCAGCGGCCGTCGGGACGCCCACCCCGCTTCCCCTCAGACGGGCCGCAGAGCCCAGGCCGGGCTGAGCCTCACCTCCCGCTCCAGGTAGGACTTGAGCGACTCAGTCTCGTTGAGCAGAGTGACGCTGCACTTGCCCCTGGAAGAGAAGGACCAGCAGGCTGGAGGGGAGAAGGCCGCCCGGCGGGGCGCTGGGCGGGGAGCCCCGGGCTACCTGATGTGGGTGGCGGGCAGGGACTCCAGCTGCCGGGACAGGAACAGCTCCCGGTGCCGCAGCTGGTGCTTGAGCTTCTCGGGCAGGTCCACCATTTCCGGGTTCTCCATTTCCTCTTCGATCTCCCCTGAAGGACAAAGAGGCCCTAGGTCAGCAGGGCCCTGCAGACGCACGGCCCCCGGACTGAGGCCCAGCATGCCAGCCCCGCCCCTGCCCACCGGCATCCACCCCGTGTGGGGCCCAGGCCTCTCACTCCTGGCTCCCTGCCGCTGCCCCGCCCCGTGGTAGCCAAGCGCATCCTTGGCCGGGCCCTGCAGACACTCGGGCACCGACGTGCCTTCATGCCCAGGCACCCTGAAGGCTCGGGACCCCCATGGGCGTCAGGACAGGAAGAGAAGGGAGGACAGTGTCCAGGGCTGGCCTTGGAAGCAGCAGGCAAGAGAGAAAGAAGGGAAACCGAGGCAGCAGCTACCACACGCCCAGGACCGGGGAGCAAGGAGCAGACACCCTCTGTGCACGGGCCCCGTCCCCCAGGCCCCAAGGGCAGACGCCCGCACAGCCCACCGCAGACCTCCCTGCGCCAGTAGGATGCCCCTGGGGACCAGGCGCAGGGACGCAGGGAGTGGGCATGCAGGCGGCCCGTCCGGACCGCCTGGCCCAGGGACAGACAGGAGAGTGCCTTACCTTCCTCGCCGTTGTCGGCCCCTGGTCCGGCTTTATAGCAGACTGACAGGGCTATATAACAGACAGAGCGCCCACACGGCAGGGTTAGCACCAGCGCCGGCAGCCTGCTCCCTGCCCAGGGCCCGGACCGAGGGCTGCATGGCCAGGGGCTCGGCATACACGGGGGCCACAGGCCTCCTGCCACCCACCTCGGTGCCACACCTCTGAGGGCAGAGCCCGAGGACCTGGCCTCCAAGGCTGGCCCGCCCAGCTGACCACCGCTGCCCCCTCTCCTTGGTCAGGAACCAGACCCTCCTCGGCTGTCCCCGGTCTGTGCTCAAGAACCAAATGCCCCCGCCCTATCCCAGGCCTCGGAAGTGGAGTGTGGAGTGGGGTCCCCACTGTCCCCACCATGCCCAGCACCAGCCACCAGTGGGACACCGCCAGCCCCGGTCCCGCCCACCACCGGCCACTCTCTGCTGCCCCCAGGTGGTGGGTGCCGGAAGTCCTGGCACCTGGTGGGGGGGCGACGCCCATAGCTTAGACTGAGGCCAGGGTGCTGTGGCGCCCGCTGGGCCCCGGGACCTGCACACCTGCCCTGCAAGCTCCCCATCCGCGGAGCAGGGCGGGGCCGCCCAGGGCTCGGTCCTTCCCCAGCCTGGACAGAGGCCCACGGTGGCTCCGAGAGCCCCCACCTTGCCGGCAGTCTGATAGCAGCGGTGAGAAGGGGCCCAAGCACAGGGCTCTGGGGTGTAGCCTATCACGGCCCAGAGCCCCCAGGAGACCCCTCAACAGGGGCAGGGACAGCGGGGCAGGGGGGGGCTGTCCCTCACCCCTCACGCTCCAAAGCCCCTCGCGGGCCCTGGGAACAGCTCAGGGCCAGGGCAGGCTGTGCCCACCCACCGCCAGCTCCCGAACCCCCACGCTGCGCCCTGAGGGTGCCAGGGGGCGGTCACCTCTGCCTGTCATTCCGACCCCCAGGAGGACGGCCCTGTGGGGCCGGGCCACAGCCTCCCCCCAAGTAGTCATCCAGGGAAGAGCTTCTGTGCTGCGGGGGCTGCCGCGCAGCCTGGGGCGTCCGGCCTCCCGGGTGTCCTTACACCTCTCCCCAGCGTGGGGCCCTGCGGGGAGCCAGGCCCTCGCCCCGGCTGCGGTGAGCTCCCAGAGGAACAGGAGACGCACGACGGAGAGACAGCCCGAGGGACGCAGCCGCTGCAGAGGTCCCCGCAAGACGGAGCGGCCGGCCGGGCCGGGCCTGAGCCCTCCAGGGGCGGCGGACCCTGTCACCCACGGTGCCTCTCCCTGCAGCTCGCCTCTCAGTTCACAGCAGCCCCTGCAGAGGGGCTGCCAGGACAGCTGTCCAGGGAGTGGAGCCCAGGGCAGCTCTGCCAGGCCCCTTTGGGGCCGCGGCGTGGGCTGGGGTGCCGCCCTCTGCCGCCAGTTCCAAGGAGGCCCTTCCGGGAAGCCCGCGCCTCTGACACCCGCCATCGCGTCACGCTGGAGTTCCCTCCCGGAGCCCTCTCGGTCACGGCCGTGCTCCGGCACGCCTGACGGCAGAGCCTAAGTGACCGCAGTCACTCTGGGCTACTCGTGGACACGCCCGCTGCATGGTGACACCAGCTTCCCTGGGCCACCCAGCCAGCAGCCCCCGCCGCACCCCAGGGACAGGACAGAACGGCCCCCGATGTGGCGTTGGAGCCAACCTTGCCGCAGACGTGCCCGGCACCTGCAGGGCCCATGCTGAGCCCCCACAACCCCTCTGAAACATGCTGCTTGTGGACCCCGAGACCCCCCGCTCTTTTCCTTGGCACCTGGAGGCTGCAGCTTTGGGGCTGGAGGGCACAGGGGTGTGCCCAGCTCCAACAATCCCTCCTCTGGGCAGATAATCAGGGTCCGACTGTCCCACGAAGCCGGGCAGGCTGTGGCCAGCTGACTGCTCCCTTTGGGCCAGCCCCACGCCCCACAGTCTGTGGGCTGCACAGGGCTCACCCCACCCGGGCCCAGGGCCTGCACGCCCAGCCCGGCTGCACTGACCCCCGGGGTACTGAGAACAAGGTCCCGGCCGTGCGAGGGGGGAGGGGAGGTGCGCCCACACCCTCCCACCCACCCACAGCAACCACCTGGGCCCCAACTCCCAGCGGAAGCTAACGGAGCCTGGGGGTCAGCAGGGAGCCCCCGCGAGGCAGGGTGGGGGACACCGCAGCCCGTCCCTGACGCCCCCACAGCAGAGAGGAGGTGGCCTGGATGCCGTCCTGCTCTCGCCACATAGCACCTGGGGCGGGCAAACAGTGCCAGGGCCTTCCACCCGTGGTCCTTCCGCCACCGCTGTGGGGGCCCTGGACCTCTACCCACTAGGAGCTGGGGCTGCAGCCCACCGGTGACAGGGAGACACCAGGGATGACTCCTGACAAAGTCAGGAAGAGAAAAGGGATGTTCCCGGTCAGGCCCAGGGGCCTCGCTGGGCTGGGGGCTCCCACCTGGGCAACTGGGCACAAGTGGCAGCCAGTGACTTCCCACCTGCCTGCCTCCCCCAGCACCCGAGGAGCCCTTCGGCAGGAGGGACCGAGTGTGGCTGCGCCGTGGCGCCAGCGTGCCCGGCAGCGCTGGTCAGGGCCTGCCCGGCGCCTCTGCCCATGCGGCTCCCACGCCAGCAGCCGCCCCGGGGCCAGGCAGTCCCAGTAGCTCCGTGACTCGTCTGCCACGTGGGGGACTTCACCGGTCTGTGGGCGCCTGCGCCAGAGTAAGCCGGGCCCACCCACAATGGCGAGGGCGCGCTTCCACGCGTCCGGGAGCTCCACGCCCCTGCGAGCCCCTGCGAGCCCCTCCGAGGCAGGCTCAGGTTTGAATTGTAAAGAGGAGGCAGACAGGGACTGTTTTCTGAAAATGCTACTCTGAATGCCAACGGAAACTTCTCCGTAAGATAAAGACGAGCACAGCAGCTGCAGGTCCAGGCCTGGGCCAGCGCCACCCCAAACCTGACACATCTGCGGGGTGGTCCAGCCAGATCTGAAAAGCCTCCAAGTAATCATAAAAGACAAACAAGAACCTTCTACCAACAACCTACACCCAGCCAGCCCCGTGACAAGCACACGCAGGATGTCGGTGAGAGGCAGACCCACTTTTTCCGGAGGGGCTGTTCAGACCCCAAGGGACGCGGCAGACAGATTCCATCAACCCCGGCCCGTGGGGAAAGGAGGCCAGAGCCCTGCACGGGCCCTGCACACAGATTCCTGCAGGTGCACAGACCCGCAGCGGCTGTGGAGAAGAGGATGCAGCAGGCAGGCGGAAGGCGGCCCAGTGAGGCCAGGACCCCCGAGAGCGAGCCCTGGGGACGGCAGGACCCGCCCAGCCCCGCACACCCACCCTCCCCGCCAGGAGGTCGCTGGGCACAGCCGAGACTCACTTGCGTGCTTGTCCGCCAGGGCGATGAGGGTGCTGGAGATGTCCCGCCGCCGGTAGAAGCACACCACCTTGGCCTCCACGTTCCCGTTGGCCGTCTGCAATGGTAAGGCACAGGCCTTGAGCAATGCCGCCACGCGGGCTCACGCAGCGCCCAGACAGCGCTCCAGACGGGACCCGACCGTCCACGGCCCCGGCCCCGTCTGAAGACCTCAGGAGTGACCAAGTCTCCCTCTCGGGACTCCAGCGACAGGCACGCCACAAAGGAAGCCAGTCCCAGAGCACGGCAAAGCCCTGGGGGAGAGGGCTGACACGACCCCACGGAGGGGACATACACGGGACCTCAACCCGCATCTTGACCCTCCCTCTCCTCTCAACCCTTGGTCCTTCTGGGCACCACCTGAGAACCCTGGAGGTGTCCCCCACTAGGAAAAGGCCCCGCCAAGCTGGCACAGCCTTGGCCAGCTCCTCCGGGCACCGCAGGCGCCACCCTGGCCGGGGCCACAGGGTCCCCTCCTGCCCAGGCCCTGCCTGCTCTGCGCCAGTCCTGGGGACCGCTCTCTGACCGTGGAGCTTAGCCAGGTCCAGCTCTGCCCTTGGCCCTGGGTGGCGGAGGCGACCCCGCCCCTCTGCACCCGGAGGTGAGCGCGCGGAGGGCAGCCACGGGTGCAGGCTTCGGCTCAGATCCACATCAAACACAGAGAAGAGCCAGGTGGGACCTGGGGCCCAAACTGCATGCGCTCGAACCGCAATGCCGTGGACGCTCCCAGCCGCTGAGCTGAAACGTCCGCGTGTCGGGACGGAGTGAGAGGCAGCCACAGAACCCGCTGGAGCTCACACAAATCTCAGCGCGGCGAGGACCGTGCACGCTGCAGTCTCGTCGTCATGGGGCTGCTCGGCGCGCTACCATCGTAGCGGCAAGGAAGGGGCCTGGTCACGGCCAGCCCAGACCAGGCAGGGCCGGCCCCGCCTCGCCGCGCTCGGGGCTCCTCCCTCCCATGCAGCTCCACGCTGGATCACCGGGTACAGGAGTGTGGGTGCCACGCTCCGAGCCACGACCCCAGGCCACTTCCTTTATGCCGCTGCTCAGGGTGCTCCTGGGGCCCCCGGACATGCCGCACCATAATGGGGTTAGAAGGCATTGATTCTTAAATGCAGACGACGTCCCAGTGATCCCGTGGGGTCTGGAGCGTCACGGCGGGCCAGGAGACGCAGCGACACACGGCAACAGCTGCCCGCCGGGGGCAGCCACGTGGCTGTTCCCAGATTTCCGGTTTCTGCACGGCAGGCTGACTGCTTCCACCGTCCCTGCAGACAGGGCCTGTCGGCCCCACACGCGGCGCCCTCACCGCGACCGAGTGACTCCGGTGCTCGTGTTGCGACCGTGGACGAGGCAGAGGTGGCAGGGCTGACGCTGCCACGTCCTTCCTCTGCTGCCCGTGTGGCTGCTGCCCGAGGTCAACAACCGCTGCCGCCATTCTCCCCAGCGCCGGGCAGCGGAGCTCCTCGAGAGCGGGAGATGGCACGCGGTCCCCGCTGCCTCCGCGGCTGCCGTCCTCCTGCGCGTCCCGGACGCCCTGGCCCTCCCTCCCAGGACAGCCGCCATGACCCTCCCGGAAAGGTGCCGAACCTCATCGTCCTTCCGAGGGTGGCGGGCGAGCCGGGCCGGCCGCGTCTAGCCTTCTGCCCTGCGACGGGGCCACTGAAAAGGCACGTCCAGTGGGAGCCCCAGGCCTTGCCACGCGACCTGCTTTTTCTCCAGGGACATTCACCACCCGTGCTCTAAATTTAAAAATGTGCCTCGAGGAGCCACTTCTCTCAGTTCTAGGATGTTGCATTTTCCGTCTGCTTTCCGAGAGCACCTTCGACTTCGCCGCCTGGTCCTCTCGTTCTGCTCTCCACCTCCTTCCGCTCGCCCTGCCCCCTGCCGTTTCGGGCGCACCGCCCCTGCCCTGGGGCCGTCAGTGGCGTCCTGCGGTTCCCTCCTGCTCCCTGGCCAGCTCCTTCTCGCCCCAGCTCCACCCTCGCGTGACAGCCCTCCCTGGACATTTCGCGATTCCTGGCCACGGGAGCTTCCCGACAGCTGGAAAGCTGGGTGCACAACTTCCACGCCAGGCAACGCCGTGGGGGGCCTGTGTTCTGCGGGGTGCCAGGGCTCTGGCTGCCACAGAGAAGCTCTCGATGCCTTCCTGGGAGTGAGAAGCTTGAATGCAAGGGGTGGGTGGCCCCACAGGAGAGCCGTGGGCTAGGCACCCCGCCCCACTCTCCTCGTCCCCGAGCTGGTGGCCAAAGCTGTGGAGAAAGGCTCCGGGTGAGCACAGCTGGGGCCGGCTGTCCTGGTGCCAGGCCCCGGCCGAGGAGCCCCACAGTCCGGCAACAGGGCCCAGGGCCAGGCTGGGCCGTGGCCAGCCCGAGGCAGCACCCCGACCTGCCTCACCGTGCCCCATCGGACCCCAGGGCTCCCACGTCACTGCTGCCACCAGGCCCGGGGGCCAGGGAGCAGCGTCTCGCAGGCAGACCGAGGTCACCCCAGGCCACACGAGTGGCGCCGGCAGCTGGAGATGGTGAGGGGGCTGCCGGCAGGCACAGCCTCTGGGGTGCACGGGGACCCTGTGAACACCCAGCACCGCAACCCCATGCTCTGCTGGGCCTGTGTCCACAGTGGGCGACGGGCCTGCCTCCGCCCCCGCTTCCCAGCCCCCGGGAGAGGCAGGGGCAGAGCAGAGATTGGAGGGGCCAGGCCGGGAACACACGCGTCCACCTGTGCTGCGCCCCAGCCCCAGCTCACAGGCGCGACAGCCCTGGCCAGCGAGAAGCCCGCCAGGGACCCACAGCAGGCGTGGCTTGCAGTGCAAGGCTGCCCAGTGCCACGGGAGACAGGCTGCGCTCGACCCCCGGCCCAGGCAGTGGCACGGCGGCCGAGTCGCTGAGGCCTCAGCAGGCAGCGGCCGCCCAAGGCCAGCCCCGAAGCCGAGGCCACCCACCCTGGGGCGGGGCGCAGGGCCTTGGTTTCGTCCCACGTGGCAACCTGTCAGGGCTCGGGGACAGAGACAACACCAGGAGCCCAGAGGCTGCCACGGTGACCCCTGGGGGTCCCCCAGGAACGGGTGTCGGGTGAATTCAGCGCCTCCCTCAGTGACGACACCACGCACCCCGCCCTGCTGCGGCGACGGGCAGGCTGCCGGGGCGGCACGCTACCTTGTTGAGCTCCTCAATCCTGCGGATCAGGTACGGGTTGCTGGAGGAGTTCTCGAAGTAGACGTAGTCTGCAAACAGAGAAAGCGTCAGCCTGTGGCCCTGCAACCCGACCCCTCCACAGCCCGCCTCCCGCCGCCAGGCCAGGCCTCGGCCCGCACCCTCGGGGCAGGGAGCGGAGGG